TTCACAAGTGTGTAGTATAAAGCAATTTAAGCCCTACTCTACTGCAAATGCATTTTCTAATTCAACTTATTGTGCAATTTAACAGACAATGTTTGTATTATCTGATTCCGAAAACTGTATTGATAAGCCTATATTGAGACAGCAAATAATCTCCTCTTCTTCTCTGACACTGTATTTAGAAAATATGTATTAAATATGTTTTCCTCCCCCAGTACAAATAGAGAGGTTTTCCTAATGCGGGAATAGAGCTAAGCTTTGTTAACCAAATACTTAATTTATAAGTGACTCAAAACTACTGTATTTTTATTTCTTTAATCACTCGCTAGATAGGATGGACCCATTAAGAAAATGGAAAACATTTATGCAGCTCTTTCTGAGGCTGCAAGTCTCTCCAATTCATCAGTTCTTTTATCAGACTTTGCAGTGAATGAAGAGCATCACAGATATAATTTCCTTTTCTGTTTGTTTTTGTTAAAGGACCGGTATCACAAGCTAGAAAATACAGAACATTTTAGCACTCTCTCCTCTTCTAAACAGGCACTGCTTCACAGATAAGTCACTCATCCTTCCTTAAGATTTAATTAAGCCACTGTATCTTCCATCCAAGTTTAAAAAAACTGAAAAAGTTAGACACACATACTCATAGGTGAAATACAGATGACTATATTCTTTAAACTTCACGTTTTATCTCTTCTACAAGAAGATAGACAGAATCGTTGGAAAGTGAAGATAGAAAGGGCTCAATAAAACAAAAAAAGTGCTATGTGGAAGAATAACTGCCCTTTCAACATTCATCCCACACATGAGAGCATTCAATGTGTGAGTTCACACTTACATACAACACTCCCGTCATTAAATAAAGCAAACGGCTGCAGTCACACATTAAAACAAACTTCATAGAGACTATACATTCAAAAAACCTACTAATGAGCAATACTGTACTAAAATGTAAACAAATATTGTGTCACAGAAGCCTGCTAATTGGGACTGAAGATTCATGAACCCACTTAAGAGGAGTTATTGGCTAAAAGTCTATTATAACTGCTCACCTGAAATAGGCTGAAACAAAGAAAAGCCTATAATAGTGCCTAAATTTAAATTTTTTTGTTCTTTAGACATTGATTTGCTTTCATTCTACAACATTAAGCAGGCAATTTCATAACAACTGAGTAAAAAAAACAGGCATTACTTTAGCAGAACATGCAGAACATGGAGTTTTTCTACTTGGTTCCATTAACTTACAAGCAATTCAGGCCCAATGGAAGCAACAGTTCCTTTCCAAAGTCAAGTCTGCAATCCTGGCTGATCATCGACATCCTTCAAGGGGTCCTGTCAAGGCATCGAGGCTGCTGTCTGTATCTGAGGCCAATGTTTGCTCTGTTGACATGGATGAAATGTCATTGATAGATGATGACTGGGAAGGACTGGTGTTGCTATTCACTGCTGCATCTGTGCTAAGTAAACCAAACATAATAAAATCTGAGGAAAGACAATATTGCAGGTACAAATAATCTAGGCTCTAGGCTCTGAGCATCGCTTTCCCCACAGAAATCCTCAGAAAATAAAGAAAACAGTAGAAAAGCAAGCACTAAGTTCTGTAGCACTCAAAACCCAAGGTGACATTAAGAGCAATGTATAATGTGAATAGTGACCTGAGTATCAAGAAGTCTAACAGATATAGTTAATAAAAGACAGTACAATATTCCAATTACTGAACCAAGAGAACGGCAGCAAACATCAAGGATTCAATCATGGGCATAAATACTTTGCACTATTAACTATTTTAAAACAAGGGGCCCTAACAATGTTTAACCCTGCATGAAAGGGACTTATTCAGGCAGAGCCACAGAATAAGCATTCAGCATAAAAGATACCTATGTGACAGCTGATGTAACATGGTATCGATTATTTCATATGACTGAGCCCTTTGGGGAGAAGGCAGCTCAGGGTGTTGGACACACAAGACTTCTTAAGTTTTCCTACAATTTACTTCGTAAGAATGAAAAACCACTGCACGTGGATCTCCAAAGGCTGATCAGAATCATGAATCTCGAACAACAAAACTTTGGCCTACCTGGATTATTAAGCAGGATTTCTTCATTCACTAGTGCAACAGATCAGCACTGAGTATCAGTTACAGGAGAACTACTGAAACAATGACTAACCTGAGGGCTGATCTTTTACCACACCATTCTTGCTCCTTTCTTCCCAATCCATTACTTCTTTGTATATTAATTCTTATGAGAGAAGGGTGGGAGGAATGAAAGAAGAGACAGAAAAAACATTGTAAGATCACAGAGGATTTGTATACAATTGTATACAATTTGTATACATATATGTAAAGGTACAATGAAATGGTTAAGGGTCAGTCTGGAAGTACAACTGTATAGATATTTATTTTCCCCTTTTTTTTTTTAAAGGCCTATGGCAATGATTAGAGAATTCTACGGATTTTCTTTATGCATCACAGACAGACACCAAGCATGTACCAAAATCAACATATTTTATAAATAGAATAGCTCTCCATTTAGAAGTAACAACCATCCCACCCCAAAACTTTATGTATACCCACAATGCACTAATATTAACTGTAAAAAAAAAAAATCAGATTTGGATTTAAAAAACCATATGGATAACCCCTGTGGAAATTTTACTTTGATAACAAAACCATACACAAATGTCTGTATTCTTAAAAAAAAATCTCCATGGATACATTGAGGAAAGTCTGGAAATTGTGAAGTAGGTTAAAACAAACAATTAAAATATCACATGAAAGCCCTCATTTACTAATCAAGGACGATTTAGGATACAAGCACCTGAACAACAACAAAAACAATCAGAGCTGTAACTTTAAAGGAACATCCATTATTCTGTTTGATATGTCTTGTAGTATGGTTCATGCAAGATGCCTTACTTTGGTCCCTTCTAGAACAAAAGGATTATTACTGCTGCATCAGGTACACTTTAAGTTATATCTGTACGTCAGGTACACTTTAAGTTATACTTTCAATTAACTCACAGTAGCTTGTGTGTGTACCCATAGTCTTAATGTAACTAAGAGTAACAGTATTTAAATACATTAAGACCTCTAATTCTGAGTAATAATATTTACAAATGTTGTATAGATTAGATATGCTGTATAGATTAAACTGATCCATTTTAATTTTCCACCTTGCATTAATCCAAAATAATGTGAAGCGTACCTGTGCAGACATGCCCTAAAGAAAATATATATAAACCAGAATCAATACCTGAAATTTATAAAGCTATTTTACAAAACCAAGTGACTTCCAAAGTACTAAGCAAAGGTGTCTACCACCCTTGGTCCTCTGATGGTAGATGTGTGAAATCTGAACTGCCTCGCCACTTAAAGTTTTTGACTAGAACTATAAGGTGTAATTGATTTCAATACCACAATGCTGTTTATTCATTTAAGTCAACAGTTTAAACTATTTGGTCAATAAATAAGCAATGATGAGAGAAAAAAAAAAAAACCACCACATCAAAAAACTCTTCTGCTATTTAAGACCTCTAGAACAAATGCAGTAGTAAATATTGTCAAGAGATGTGGCTTAAATAATGTACACTGAGAAGAGGCACATGTTTCTCCTTCAGAGAATTTTCCATCAAGAAAAAACCCATTGAGATTACAAACACTTAACAAAATACTCAGAGGAATGGAAGGAAAAAAATGAAACTGTGGCATTTTGTTGAACAGACTTCAGAATGTACATGTATATGTATGTACATATACGCGTGTGTGTGTATATATATATATTTTCACTCCAAATAGAACATTTTTCCATTACTGACTTCTTTTCATATTGCTACAAGCAGTACTGCATCATTGGAACAGTGGGTTCCAGTCAGTTACACAATCCAGCACACATGTACTGCGAGCCACGCATTAACAATACAAGTTATTACAACACATGTCATTTGTCATGCTCACTTTTTACCTTTCCATTCTTCAATTGCATGCTCTCTTTCTTCCAATTGTGCATCATAGATTTGAGGCGGAGGCTACAAAGAAAAGAAAGTCTATAGCGTATCTACTACATCACGTTAACACAACCAATTGTAACTAAAAAAACCTAAAAATGACAACTTTTTTAGCATGTTTTTACCTTCATCTTTGGCAGTCTATTCCCTATACCTCAGTCACATTCGTTTTAAAACTCCAGAATTTGCTTTTAAGTCCTACCTCCCACCAAAAGGCTGTTTAAAAGCGTCAACAAAAATTAAACTCATTATAAGGCTTTATGGGGCCTTAGAGAAAGTCCCCTTTTAAAAAAGCCCTAGTTACCACCACACAGGCAACTCTTTCTGTAAAGTAAAGGGAACTATCAACAACCACTTTCAAAATTATATCAACTGCACTCCAGCAGCTGTTCTTCAGGTGATTCTACCTCTAATGTTGACCTGAAGGCTTTATGCATGACTTTTACTAGTCAAAGAATGAGTTCAAAGCATGCTCTTGACTAAAACTGAAGGTATTCTTTAAAGTTATTAAATCTTAAAATTTATTTTAAATGCAAACTTACAGCTTCTGCTTCAGCTGGATCATACCAGACAGTAATATAAGGATGACGTAAGGCTTCATCTACAGAAATTCTCTTGTCTGGATCTACTACAAGCATTTTTGATAATAAATCTCTAGCTTGGCTGGCTAGAAAGTAAAAGTGAAAAAAACCATACATGTAAGAGCTGTAGAGTTTAACATCTGACACAGAAAATGAATACTGGGAACATAGGATATACACTAACAGTAGATATTTTTCACTGTGAAGACAGGCCTACAAATCCAAGCTTTATTATACAGCTACTTTTTTTTTTTTAAGAATGAGGTCACACCCCTTTAGCATAAATGTTATTTTGCTATTATCCAAAATAAACCCTGCAGCTGGCACCAACTAACCTCGATTTTGAACAGTTCTGCTGTTACATGGGTCACAATTTATTTGGCACTAACTACTGAACATAAAACACACTCAACATTTTAATTAAGCTTTTAAAAAAAACCATTTTGGTACAGTAATCATCTAATTTCTGTAATAGCAAATTAGTTTTTCTTTTAAAGGTGTTACTGCATGGTAACTGGCTACCAATTGTTGCAGTGGTACTTCACTGACATTTCTTTTTCGTCTGAACTATTATTGTAATAATAAAATAGGCTATAACAGGTTATTTTATGTAAAAAAAAAAATTTATCATCTAGAGAATATAGTAAGTTGGGTTTTTTTTTCATTTTATCAGTAATTATCTAAAGTAAAAGTATAGCCAAAATGAATTATATGCACACATCAACTAGAAAAAGCTAATTACAAATAACCTCCAGAACAAGTATTACTTTCAGAGAACATTTACGCAACAGACATTATTCAATGGATTAGAATTAAAGAGAATGAAACAGAATACTGGGAACAGGGAAATAGTTCTGTATTTAATGAATACTATTAAGATTTCAGGACATGTCAAATGAAAAACAGAAGGTATGCAGCTTCTAATGTTGACATCTATTGCAATAAACATTTTTTTTTTTAATTAAGCGTATTGCAGACATTTTAAATTAACATCTTAAAAAAGAAAGAGGAAAGAAAAACTCGCCTTACTTTTTAACTTGTCACGATCAGATTCTGATGGAAATATCCAGTCTGGGAAGAGTTCTTCAAATTTAATACCGGGATATTTTGGCCTATTTTCTACATAATTCCTCACTGTAGGCTGTAGTTTCTTCATGAAGTCTGCTGACGGTGTTCCTAGTTGTTCAATAACTTTATTCCATTGATCAATATCTGCACCATATCTTTAGGAAAATCAGCTGAAGAATTTGAAGTCTGCACTACACAAAAATATCACTTACAGAAATCTGAAAAGTTAATGAAAACTTGAACAAAGGACAGAAATATGAACTTCATTCTAGCCTTGACAGTATTCTGAGCTGCCATGCAAAAAGCTAGAGTGATATAAAAATATGATTCAGATTTTGTAATCTTAAGGACTGGTTAGAAGTGCTGCACAATGCATTATGCTTAAATATCTTTTGCTAATTATTATCTATTGGCTAGTATTGAAAGCAATACTTTTTTGGAGCCCAAAAGAAGCTTTATTTGGCAATTGTATCCATAGCAAAACAACTATAAGGACAGAAGAGAAAGGCTGCTGTTGAATCTTCTGAAGTACAACATAATACCATCAACACTGAGGACTCTTGAAGGTAGGAAAAAATACATGAAAAAACCTAAAGGACAAATACATCCCATTCAAAGTAAGGAATTTTGTGCCTGTCTCCTAAGGAAATTAGACTTTGGGTTGGAGGGTTTTTGGATGGGTTTGGTTGTATGATTGGGGTTTTTTTGTTGTTATTTTCTGGGGTTTTTTTGGTTTTTAGTTTTTAATTTTCAACTTCAGAAAAGGTTCAAAGGAGTTCTGAACAGTGAATCCAGATTCCTGTAGGTTTTCAGCAGGTTGTTCTGTTTAAGTATCAACTGTGGTAATACTCAAAGACTAAAGACTCAAAGACTCTGTTCTTAAAGTCAGAATTTAAATATTTTATAGGAACTGCATTTACAAGCCACAAGTTGAAATTGTGCTTCATGTTTCTTCTGGACTGTCTCTTCTCCCTCTTTAAAGTGAAGGCATTTCCCCTAGGCATGGTGGCACTTGTTACAGAGATACCAGAGTCCGCTCTGAATGAGCCTAGTTGGGATAACAAAGCTCATTTATCACACTGAGAAGACACTGCATCAGTATTCCTGATATTTAAGTTTACTCAGATTTACACTTTACAGTTTCTCTGATAAAAAGAATGTGCAATTCCAGCAGAGTCTAACCATGGACCTTGCAAACATTCATAGCTAAATTCATAATTTAGCTTCATCGTACCCATTCTCATAGATTTTGTAACAAAACAACAAATTTGCTGCACTTTGAATTAAGATGTATTTAAAAAACAGAGGCACTTTTATTTCAGTTAGTGTGCCAAGAATATAACTAGAAATATATGCAAAGTCACTGTTTCTTGCTAAGACTTTAGACTTCTGATACAAAGATTGAAAATTATATTTGCTTATTGAACACATTCCAATGGAAAAGCTATATTAAAATAAAAATTAAGTAATCAATATTGTTAACTCTTACGCTAAAACAAAGCACAAAGAAAATTTTAACATACATCAGGAAATTTTGTTCTTAGCTGAAAAACTGATTTCTGAGAGATGTCCACCAATCTAGATTCAAGAAGACTTTTTTCTATGAGTTGCAGCAGTCTGGTTAGTCAGCTAATCAAATTAGAGTCCAGTCTATTGCGATCTCAGAGCACTGGGGGGAGGGCAGAAAAACTTAACGACCTATCCCACTTTAGTAATAAAAACTGGGAAAAAGCAATGTCTCAGTTGGATTGTTTCAAAGTGCTTTACAGATACTGAAAATTGAAAAAAAAAAAAATTCCCCAATACAGGGTAGGACTTGAAATAAGCTAAGCCTGTTATCAGAAACCCAAATGGATTTAAACCTTAATTTCAATGTAAAGCACACAGAGCGTGCTATGTGAATAATCTTGCAACCTGCAGACAAAACTACCCTTCCTGTTCTAGTGAGGGTCAAGGTCAAAAGTAACCAGAAGTTTAGCCCATGACTAGTATATCTGCCTACTTTTTGGGACTCTGGAAAAAGAGAAGTTGAAAACAGAGTCCTTATTACAATCACAATAAAGCATGATTTTTCCCAAGAAAGCATGAATACCCCCTCATGCTTTTTGCATGTCAGGCAATTAGTTTCCTTCACCACGTCGGCAGAAAGAGCATTAAACACACTCTGGTGCTGCTAGGCTTTCCATTATTTCATCTTAGGTTATCTACATTGCCTGGTTTTTCTACGTTTGTAATTTCCAGTGCAACAGCAACTGCCAGTAACTCAGGCCAGTAACTGTAAGAGCCCTGTTCATCCTCCACAACATCAGTCAGGAGCAGGCTCGGTGCATCCATCGCCCTGGCAACGCGGAGCATCTCATTCCACGCAGAGCACTGCTGCAAGTATCCCGGCAATCCCCGTTGACTATATGGGAAAATACAAACTGTTGAGTCTAAGAGTAGGTTTTCCTGAAGACAGTCAAGGGCACATCATTAGGCAACATGCTGAACTTGGTTCCCTGCTCTAAATCCCCAAATACTAAAACATTTTAAAATTTAAGTCAGAAAAAAACCCACACAGAAGAACAGGAAGCTTCATGGCCATGCGCACCAGCACACCCCATAAACCACACTCTCAAAACAATCCTGCAGCTGAAGGTAAAAGAAAACGACAATCTGACCGGAGCAGTTACCAGTTAGGAAAAGTTTCAAACAACACAAACAGTTATCAGTATTTCACATTAAAGAGAGCTGCAAGTCTTGCAAGAGGAAAAAAAAACCCTGTAAGCATAGCTGTGCACTTTTGTAAGATACTGGGGGAGGAGACTCCTTGAAACAGACTGGTGGAGCTTCAGTGACCTCCAGAGAACCACAAGTGGTAACTTGCATATTCAACAAGTATGGACAAAATTTCCTTCATTTATTCATGAATAAATCAAAATAGCCCATGCTAACATGCAGGTGAAAGACACATAACATACATGAAGAATTGTGTTAGGTTGGTCTGAAGGCTTCAAAAGGTAAAACAATAAGTATAGAAAGGAAGAAAGGTGGAAAACAAAAAGACTTATTTAACAATTAATCATTTGTACTACTAAATAATGCATGATCAACTGCTGAAGATTAGTGTCATGAAATTTAGCATTAAAATTTAAAGTCCTCCTCTGTAAGATACGTAGGTATCTATGAAAACCGATGTGAACATATACTTGATATTTTTAGTGGTGGACTCAACTTTTCCTTGCTGATGAGCAAAAATATTACACTTTCTTCAAAATCTTGGATCACAGGTAGCTATAGCTTCTTATGACCTACAGCCATAACTGGCAATTGTAATTTAATTAAATCATCTGGATTCTATTTATTTACTGATCAATTTTGAGTGTCTAGTCCTACAACGCTACTACTTCATAAGATACTATTTATAAAGGATGAAATTGGTTTCGCTCCAGTTTTTGTAACTGGAACTTGATAATGAGTCAAATGTTTTAAATTTTGTTTCTAGGGAAATATTTTGAAATACATCAAAATCTTAAAAGAACATTTACTTTATTAAATAATCACTTCTGTTCACTTAGTACAGTTTAAAGCCTTGTTAGTGATCCAGTGATGTATTATTGAGATTTCCAATCTCTATTTTGTATGAAAACACATTTAAGAGGATTTTGTTTGTTTTTAATACAGTAAAATTTCCTACAATTACTATTGTACAAGAAAGCAGAATTTTATGAAGACAAATCTGGGTCAAAAGTATTGAAGGGAGGAATGAAGGAATAACAATCTTATAGAAAAAGCCCAAAATAAAATTTTCACAGGATGAAAAAACTCCAAAAAGAAAAAGGTTTTCTTTTTATAATAAATAATAGTAATAAAAAAAACATTTCTCATGCAGTGTGCTTGCAATTAGGACACTGCTGTCCAGCAAGTGCTAATAAGCAAGAAAAAAAATCTGACTGAAACTCAAAAAATTGTACAATTAAAAAAAATGAGTCTACTGTTCAAACAAGTAGTAAGCTAAATCCATGCGTAAAAAGTAGTATCTATGAAAACCGATGTGAACATATACTTGATATTTTTAGTGGTGGACTCAACTTTTCCTTGCTGATGAGCAAAAATATTACACTTTCTTCAAAATCTTGGATCACAGGTAGCTATAGCTTCTTATGACCTACAGCCATAACTGGCAATTGTAATTTAATTAAATCATCTGGATTCTATTTATTTACTGATCAATTTTGAGTGTCTAGTCCTACAACGCTACTACTTCATAAGATACTATTTATAAAGGATGAAATTGGTTTCGCTCCAGTTTTTGTAACTGGAACTTGATAATGAGTCAAATGTTTTAAATTTTGTTTCTAGGGAAATATTTTGAAATACATCAAAATCTTAAAAGAACATTTACTTTATTAAATAATCACTTCTGTTCACTTAGTACAGTTTAAAGCCTTGTTTGTGATCCAGTGATGTATTATTGAGATTTCCAATCTCTACGGTATGAAAACACATATACGAGGATTTTGTTTGTTTTTAATACAGTAAAATTTCCTACAATTACTATTGTACAAGAAAGCAGAATTTTATGAAGACAAATCTGGGTCAAAAGTATTGAAGGGAGGAATGAAGGAATAACAATCTTATAGAAAAAGCCCAAAATAAAATTTTCATAGGATGAAAAAACTCCAAAAAGAAAAAGGTTTTCTTTTTATAATAAATAATAGTAATAAAAAAAACATTTCTCATGCAGTGTGCTTGCAATTAGGACACTGCTGTCCAGCAAGTGCTAATAAGCAAGAAAAAAAATCTGACTGAAACTCAAAAAATTGTACAATTAAAAAAAATGAGTCTACTGTTCAAACAAGTAGTAAGCTAAATCCATACATAGTAAAAAGTAACTTTGTAGGCTTTTGCTTATAACACTTATCTACAAAGAACAAGAGTAAGAAAATATACTTACTGCTATTTATTTTTTAAACCTAACAGTATCCTTTTTTAAGCTACAAAAGCTGAAGCTCTTAATATAAATTCTATGGATTCAACCAGTACAAATTGCATTAAATATAGTCTACTAAGAAAATAAAATGTAAAGCTCAACAATTTGGTTAATGACACTAATTTCAAATAGTACAGTAGATCTATTAAAACATTATTGAAAATATTGCTTATGCTTTTATACTTATACAGATCAAAATAATAGTGTTTCTGTTGGAAGTGGAATGGGATTCAAAGATGACTAGGGAAGGATACGATCAGTGCCTTGGAATATCACACAACCTTTCACCAATTCTCCCATGATGCACCCAACTGACCAGATATCAACTGAAAGTAAAAATGAAATGATCAAATTATGAAGTATCATGAACAAAAGTGAGGAAAAACAAACAAAAACATCTAGCATCTACAATAAAACACAACAATGTGGAAAACCAAACTGCTAACATGAATTTTCAATCATATCAACACCAACTGACTGTTGCTAAATTTTGTTATTAGCATTTTGTAAAATATAATCAGTGTTTACATTTCTGAAACAACCGTGAAGAAGGATACAATCTCTTCCTGGGAACAGGACTTTATGGAGGACCATTTCTGCCATAATGCACCCAACAGACCAGATATCCACTATCATATGTTAGGTGCAACAAGGACAAAAGATTAAAGAGGTTTTTTTAAGTATCACAATTATTTACTTGTAAGCTCACACTGTATTCCTACCGTCCTGCAGATAATTTATTTTTTTGTCCCATCCAGAACAGCCTCTACTAAAGTTCTGATCCACATCAGCACTTGCTCTACAACAAGCTGCCTTGTGCATTAATGAAAGCCTTTTGCATGATCAGTGGCCCAGAAAGGTCCTGCGAGTCCCTTGTATTACACTGCCAAAGTTACATGTATACAAAAAGCATGGTATCCCCAAGCCCCTGTGATAAAGCAGAAAGATGTACTAGCATAGAAGTCGAGAGGAGACAGCATATTACTCCACAGCTAGTACAAATCAGCAAGTAAAATCCCAAATAATGCAGGTCAGGAACAATTTCCTAGCCAGCAACTGTGTTGGCTGAACATTCAATATATTACATTATTAAAAACACAGCTATAACACCCAGCCCCTTTGAGTGCTATGCAGATTTAGAAGAGTATGAGATATGGTTTGTCATAGGGATCTGAAACTTATTTTAATAAAGTAACCAGAGATGCAAAAGGGGGCAGACTGTCAAAAAAAGATGCTTCAGAATAAAATCACATTGATAAAAGGGTTTATTATTTATAGATTGATGGTTGTTAATTTTTTTAATGTCATCCAGCATAAGCGTCTTAACAGTTTTTTGGTAGGATAAAAAAAAATGGCAACACAACAACAGGACAACACATGAAAAAAACAACAGCAGGGGAGAGGGAGCAGTATACATTAAATGGAGATAGGCACACAGAGCAGAAAACTATTCTATTCTTCAAAATTATTACAGTGTAATTTTTGTTATTTCCAATACCATGATTAACATACTTTAACAACAGACATGGCAGGGGGAAACCAGCTCTCCCCGCCACCTTTTAAAGCTGTTATGTTCTGAGACAGATATGCTTTAGACAAAAGATTTAATGTGTTACTCTAGCAACTTACCATTCTCTTTATATCCCATTCCAAGGATAACCTCTGGTGCTCTGTAATACCGTGTTACTACATATGGAGTCATCATAAAGTTAGTACATGCTGTTCTTGCCAGTCCAAAATCAAGGATTTTGAGCGTACAATCTGATTTTACTACTATGTTGCTGGGTTTCAAATCCTAACAAGAAATAACTTCAGTTAAGGAAGGATCAACATCCAGAATAACACACACCCCCTTCCACAGTCAATATATGGCACCAGTTCACTTCACATTAACAGCTGCATATTCCTGCTCTGATGTATTTGCTTATTTATACACAGACTAGAGACAAGTTAAATGCTGCCCGGCTAAGTACTCCAAAAAATTCAGGGAAAACCAGAATCAAAGTTGTCTGCAGAGTCTTAATTTACCCAGTGGTGCGCTGACAGTACAGTCAGTTACGTAATGGTTTGTACGTATGCACAATGTGTATCTGCTTCCTTTAACACATTAAGTGGACCTATTTTGGGTAGGAATAGTTGCATGGTAAAGGAGACTGTGTTCCAAATACTGTCATTATTAGGGCACAGATCCTAAAGACGACATCATTAATTAGTCAGGTATCTGTAGGAAAAAGGAGTATCGCAACACACAAAGCATTAACAAGTGTATTTGTTAATGACAGATAAGCCACCTATGTTAGAGTGATTAGCAAATTTCACAGTCAAAATTCGGGTGTGGTGAAAACACAAAGTTACCCAATGAGTGAAGAGAAAAATAAAATACTTTAGGAGATATGCCTCATGGGAACAGTCATTATTGCACCCAAAGGAATACACAGTTAGGGAAAACTAGAATAATTGGATTTTATTCACAAAGTATCAGAAGTAGCCAAATTACCAATGCACTAGTACATTTAATTCTGCTCAAGTGTTTGACTTGGTTTCAACCACATGAACCATGTTCTCAGGTACAGAACTTCCTTTTCTTAAGAAGATGGGGACATGCAAATAGTTCACGTGGGTTTGCATATTTTTGCGGAAGATTTGTTACCTTCCTAAACACTACTGCATTTACCATCAACTAGGTTGGAGTTTCTAATCCTCTACTCAGACTTTTCTCTTGACAACAGAGTAATTATTTGCAGTATTTGATAGTGAAATTTGTGGTTCTCTCATCTTACTATAATGCTGGGCCACCTGAAGGATAACAGATTCAATATTCATCAACTCATAACGGAGGTGGGAGTCGTGCACATTATTTCAAGTTCTATTTGGTCACAGGCTAAGTAATTTCTAGATGTAATTCCTTCTGAACTATCAAAGTTCTGTTCCCTTCCTAGCCTCACTTCTTTTCAAAACCAAATCTCTCACCTAATCAAGAGTTTTCACTCCAGAAAGGTCATTTTATTTTGGTCCCACACTAACCCAACCTAACGCTCACCACTTTAGCCTCTCCATTCAAATAAACTTCATACCTCTGTTCAGTTATTCACAGCGCGGTTCCTCTCACTGCCCATTTTATTGTTCAATCAGTATCAGTTCTGTCTGATTGCTCCTGTTAGCTCCTATGAGCTTAAATTTCTCAGCAAATATTGTGTCTCCCCTGTAGCTCCAAATCACAGTCAACATGCCAGGTGGAGTTCAGTGGGAGTCCCAGCCCTCCCCGCTTCAGTCTCTTACACACCCCACTCAATAATTCTAGGAAAGCCCAGTACTAAGACTATCTGGATATAGACTTCGCTTAACTATACGTAACTTCCTTGCTAATACCACAGTATTTTCATGGTAGATTTTTTCAGCAAAGTAAGGAAGTAGATTTGTTGTAAGTTATACAGCTTCTCAATTATGTTTATGGATTGAACATAAAGAAAAAAAGCACGTTAAACTAGAACTGGATAAAGTTTTCAGCCACCAGGCAAAAAAGAAATTTAAAAGGCAAGTGTGCCCAGGAAGTAGGGAAGGAGAAAAAAAAAGGAACGGAACAGAAAAGAAGCAGAACTGTCAAATAGACTGGTCATGAAATTAAAAAAAAAAAAAAAAAAAAAAGGAGCAGCAGCAGAACAACAGAAGCAAAGAAATATATGAGGTCTGCACAGGACTTCAAAATTCTGATCATTCACGAACTTTACTTTTCAGAATCACACAATGGTTGAGGTTGGAAGGGACCTCTGAAGGTCATCTGGTTCAACCCCCCTGCTCAAGCAGGGCCCCATACAGCCAGTTGCTCAGGACCATGTCCAGGCAGCATTTGAATATCTCCAAGGATAGAGACATTTAAGAGGTAAATACTATGTTTTAGAGACTCATTCTTTAGTAATTTGAAAGGTCCACAGATACTCATGTTTTATCTTTTAATCAGTTCAGCATAAGTTAAATCCACAGAGCTAACCTGGTTTAAGATCTATTTACAACGCAGTCTTTACCTTTGAACCAGAAACAATCTTCAGGTTTAATAATATTCTTATGAAAGAAAGAAATATACGCTTATGAAATAACAACCCCCTGCCTTCCCCCGTTTCATAAGAACATCTGCGTTCATAAAAAGTATTGTTAATGATCTAATACTACCTACTCTGTGGATGATACCAGCTGAGTGGAGATGTTTGATACCACATAGCATTTGGTAAAGAAGATAAGACATTCTTTCGTGATCCAGTTCCATATGAATAACCTGGCACAAATTTGCATCCATCAGCTCCATAACCAAATATCTAAAGCACAAGAAAGAAAGCATTAAGAAAACTTGAGTCTTACTTTTCGTATCAGGTTTAAGCATAGCATGAGATGTTTAATAAAAGCCAACTACTTTGCTAACGCGTCAAAAAGCTTACAATTAAAAAAAAGTCATGCATGACCAGTGTCAAAATTAAATTATTATCTATTCAAATAGTCTTACTATTAAAAATTAAGTATTCAATCATCCATCACAAGAGACTAGAATTCCACTAGTTTTATCAACAGTAATACAGAAGAATAATTCTGAGTTTATGCAGCATGAAAAGCTGACTGACTGAAGATGATGCAGAAATTGCAGATATTACAATGTATCAAAAATGCTTTTCACTGTAATTTATTTAAAAAATTAAGAAAATTAAGAAAAGCACAGTAAGAACTAAGAAGGAATGATTCAATGATTCATTTTCAAGTTAAAATATCATCTGCTTACCCCCTTCAGACACACACACTCCCATGTTTACCCAAGAAGCCCATTCACAAACCACAACAGCATATTCACCGGAACCTAAGAATACCTCACCAACTAAATCACCATGAATCCTTTCTAGACCAATTGACATAGCTTGCATAAAAAAAAAAATATTCAGTTCTTAATTGAGGCCAAAAATACTGTTGTGCTGATGTGACTGGTATGGCAAAAAATGGTATCAGGTTATCCAGACCAAGTTATTACGCTGAAGTGACCCATTTAGCTAAAGGACAATGCACACAAATCAGATGCCTATGCAATCAGTAAAGTATGGCAGACAAATGAATAGAAGGTAAATAACCTCTTTTTATTCCCCACTTCCATCTTATGCATGTAGTGAAACAACTTTCTTGGTCTTTCTTAAAGAAATCTAGAAATAAAGACTAATTAAAGGCTAAATTTAGCCTTTAGCTACCCTCTGTTTTCAAAGTGTGAAGTCTGTAGGATACTGGACATACAGCTCCAGGGCTTAGGCCAGTATTTGTCAGGAAAATTAAAACAAAAATCTAGTACTTACACATCCTGAAATTCTTCTAGTGACTTCTGTGGTGTAAATACATTTAATAAACTAATTATCTATAAAATAAAAATAAACATTAGAAGAAACTCCTGCTTTAATTCACATAAAAATCCACTATTGCAAAAGCTACTATTCCAAATCAAATGCACAGTTACTATATACAATTTGAATGTTACTTGGCTTCACTTAATTCACATGTGCTGAAAAACTGCCAATTCAGAAATAGTTCAAAACTGCAGCATGTATGCCAAAGGAACTAAGACAGGACAAAACCACTTTTTTCTTTTTAAAGATATATGACACCGTCTATCTCCCTCCCCAGTGCCTGAAACGTATCCCATTTTTTCCCCATAAATAATAATCTCTTATTTTAAATCACATGTTGTGCAAGGAATTTTAACCAAGGCTGTCCAGCAAGTACACAGAGATACCCCACGCCATCCCATTAAACGTAGATTATGATGTACTAGTTCTAGAAGAACTGCTAAAATTACTGTACTGCCCTCCTTAATAACCACCTTGCTTTTATTCTGCTACTTCTGGACTTCACCAAAAGCTTACTTAAAAAAAAAAAAAAAAAAATCAATCCTAAAAGGCTAATTGACTCCAGGAAGTTTAAGACCTGAGTGCACAACTTCAATGATCAGCAGTGTTTCTAGTTCATGTTAGTATCAGAACATAACAGTCACATAAACCTTATATTCTTGTACTTGAACACTGAAGTATTGACATTAAGGCTTGTTATTTTAGAAGGTTCAAAGATTTTAAAATATGTATATATTGTCCGTAGTATTTCACTTCTGTTTACCAATAAGTTGTTAGATAGTACTGCACCCCTGCAAACCTCACCAGTTAAACACTGTATTTAATAAAAATCTTGCCTAAGCTCACAAGATTTAACTACAGTGCAGTTACAAGAGCCAAATCCACAAACAACCCACTGCCAAACAGGCTTTGCTGCAGTATGACTTAAAAGGGCAAATGCAATACAGCAAGGCCAGTTCTATAAAGCCGACACTGATGGTAAACCTATACCAACACCACAGCAAAAACCTCCTCCCTCCAGGCATTTCATCCTCTAAGCAGCTCACCCAAGAACTTAATCATACATTGTAGAGAACTGCACTACCCATAGCAAATCTTTCCAGTCTTTCCCTCACTACTTTTCCATTATTTTGGTTACTAACAGCACATAAGAGAGCAAATCCTGAGCTTTTTAGACAACTTACAGTAATGAGGAAGAGAAATATAAAGCCAAACTTACATTTTTGTGATTGACACATTTTAAAAGAACAAGCTCTCTGTAAGCTCTTTTTGCGTGGGTTTGATTCTGAAAAGGACGACTCAGCTTCTTTACAGCAACATTTATTCCAAGGACTGTATCAAACGCAGCACTAGAAGTTTTGAAAAGACAAACAACTTAAGTTGAAGTCTGTTTGAGGGAAAGGAGGGGGCAAAAGGGAGATGGGAGTGAGGAAAGAAATCAAGATTTGAGACAAAGCATATCCACTAAGCTGTTTATACTGACTTCAACTAATTTTCATCTAGAAAACAAACATTCTTTAAAATCTACACATCCTTTAATAAATACAAATAGGTTAAACAGAAGCCACTGACACTCATCAGAAGTCTTCCTGCCCTTAAGACTGAATCTGCTGACTCAAGACTCACATTCAAAACTGCAAGATCTAAAAATATTTTAAGCTTATTTGAAATCAAGAAGCATTTCAGCTACCTAATCTGTGTATTTGGAGTATTTTTTTTTTGGACACTGCTGCTGACTGACAATCATTTAATATTTGCAGTAGAAATTTCTCCTTCCTAAAGGCAAGTCACAACCATGTCTCCATGATCTGTTCTGAAGGCATCACTACTCTCCTGTACATGGATAGTTTACAGTTATAGACAATTTTAGTGCCTAGCAGAAAGTTACATTCATCATCTGGTGTTGGGGAAAAAAATAAATCTATAGAATTGAGTAATATGGAAAACTCAGATTGCAGGGAGCAAGACGAGTTTAAAAGTGAACATGACCATTAATTTTATCTTGTTTTTCAGCTGTGCTTGTTCCTTCCCTCTGCAGTTTGAGGTACATCTGTAAACTTGCTTTAATAGCTGTAAGAATCCAAAGCTAAATTATCTGTATATCCAGAACAAGACTAAAGTGGGAATACTCTTCATTATTAACACACAGACTATTCGGCAAAATATATATATGTGAATTCATACCACAAACTACTCAACAGTTCTAATCTTTAAACAGTTCCGGTTTTAAATAAGGATTCCCACATTACTCTATTTCCATTTAATGTTACTTTCACAGGGTAGGAAAGAATTCTCATTCACGTATATTTTCCAAGCACAATTAAGCTCTTTGTGAGCTCCTTCCCTATCTCATCAAGATATGTACGATACCAGGCTTAAAAGGACATTCATATTATAGTACTTTTACAAAAAGTACAGCTGCTCTGTGATAACAATACTCAAATTATATGAAGTTTACCAGAATCAAGTCACTGCTTTCCCTGCTGGAAAAAGCAATACCACCACAAAGCAGGGCTCACCCATGAGATGTTGTGTTTTCTTGGAGGCATGTCCCAAATTCGAGTCAATGTGCCATTTGCACTAAAGGATTGCTAGCATTTATTTCAACTTAGTTCTGTGAAATACATAAATCATTATTCAATGATACAATCGCTCTCAGATTTAAAGCTTTTATGTCTACGCAAAACAAAACACAAAATGGGAGGAAGGCAACTGGCCAGACAACTGGAGAAATTATTTTCTTCCCAAATATAAAAGCACTGATGTTTCAGTACTCACTTCACCTAGAAGACGTTATATGTAAATTTTAAAGTTTTGCATATGTTAATGACTTCAACTACACCTGGGAATTAGTATAAAATCAATAACCAACAGGGTCTGCATGAATTAGCTGTTCAAGTCAATCACAGGTCAGCAGTGGACTAAGGAGCAATTTTAGCGGAAGTGTCCCATTGTGATCTAACAAATCAGGTATATGTCAAGGCTCAGACTGAGCACATACGAAGAACTCCACCTGAACCTCTTATTTTGCTCATCTACATGGGAGTGACTTACATTCCATCTCAAAAAAAAAAAAAAAAAAAAAAGGCTATCTGCTACCTACACAATCCAAGGGGAAGAATTAAAAACAGACTGGTAGAAGAAAAAAAAAAAGTGGTAAAAAATTGTGCGAGCATGCATTTATTTAATTTACCAAGAAAAAAAAAAGACAGAATATAACCTCTATTACCACTAAGACCACACTTCTAAACATCACGTAATTTTACACAAATGAACAGAAAAAAAATCATGGATGTAATTGGTGTTACATTTCCTTTCCCATCCCTGCTCATTTGAATTCAAAAGAGACTTTTTCATCCCAGCAACTGTTTCAGGCACAGATTTTAAAAAAGCGGACTGGCCAGAGTCGATCCAGTTATCACCTTGGCTACTAACAGGATGTCTATAGATTATTTCAGCATTTAATATCACGGAAGAATCTCAACATCTACCCCACCGTATAACAGCAATTCCAATTTGATCATAGTGAATTGTAGTAGGGTCTTCACTGCACTTGTGATAGTTTTGCATCTTGAGCACATTTAATATTAAGAGTAGTGATACCACATACATGATGAAATTATTAACAAAACATTATGACCTAAATTACAGTAGGAAATCACACTTCATTTCTGTAGGCAAAACAGGAGTTTGCAAGTAGTAACAAACTCATCCCGACTGTTTCTTCAACTGCAACTTTTAAGTGAAGTTATCAACACAGTCAAAGCTGTGCTATTTATAAGATCATGGTTTTGCCGCATTGCAGGACAAAAGAAGTTTGCTGGGACAGAAAAATCAGACTCACTAGAAAATTTAGGAAATCAAGGACAAGAAAGGAAAAAAGATGTCAGGAAGTTGAAGACAAATTATTGCAAAAGAATAATTTTGTGTAAGTGATTATTCAGTCCTAAATAGATTATAAGACTTCAAATGTATTAATACTTAGGAACAAAGAAGTGCGGAAAGTCTTATATAAAAGTGTACTTTGTATATTAGATACAAAAGGTATATCCAACTTCTCTCCTAGCCTGTTTGCAGTGTGAGCTAGAAATACCCTCTACATAACAACTGGGTTCCTCTTTCATCTTCCTAGAGCTTTCATTTATTGCTTTTCCTAAGTACGTATTTTTAAAACTACTTCTTTTCCTAAATTTTAATATCAAAGAAAAAACTAAGCAGAAGCAATACCAATGGAGTTTCCCATTAATATTTTGAGGAAAAAAATAGCAAAATTCAGACCTCTGCTAGCTGAAATGACACACGTGGTATTAAAAAATTCTCACAAAAAAATAAAATTCACACAAAAACTTCAGAAATTAGGAAAATATTTTTTTCCTAATTTTTATGTTAAACACTGGATGATTAAAAAAAAGCATCACATCCGTGTGTCACACTACTGACTTGACAATTTTTCCAGCCAAACATGACAGAATAGCACTCATCTTACACTCAGTTTTCCACATTTTACATCCTAGTATTTTGTATCTTTCCTTTGTGTACTATAAGGAATTTTAGGAGAAATTAAGAATTTGCACCTTCAACTTGGACATAGTTTTCAGATGTTTCACGTGAAGATGAAAATTTACGCAATGTTTCACTCTGTTGTTCCATAAATCAAGTATTCTCAAAACAAGTCAATAAATCAGATCATTTCTTCTTCTTCCCAAAACATTGACCTTAACACTACCCTAACTTCATTTTGAAGCACACACTTAGTTTAAGTCATATAGTTTAGAAATACACTACTTCTAATGAAAGGAGGAACACTTACAACCACCCTGAATTCCTGCATGCCATCTAGAACAAGCATAACTTTAATAATATTTATACCTGGAAAATGTCAGCACTATACTAAATCTTACCCAAACACTAATAACCAAGATCTAGAACGTATAGGTCTAATACCCTATCCCCTCATCACTCAACCCACTAAAGAAGAATGAAATACGGTGTTCTCATTTTGCTTATTTTTCACTCACCTATTAGCAGAGCAATAGGGGTATCTAAATAATTTAAAAATAAAGGCACGTTCTCACAAAAATGCACTCTTTTCCTGCACATATAACTTATTACTGTTATGAAAAGGCCAAAAAGACACGGGCAGGTGCTGTATAAGGAGCTGCTCACAATACATGAGTCATCACACTTATTCTGCAGAATTTATAGATGAAGAGAAACCGCAGACCGGATTTAAAGCATGAACAGCCCACCATGTGTTGTGATTAAGTATAATATCAGAGAGTTCCTGAGCATATCCATTTGTGTATGGAATTGTAAAATCGCATCAATAAACATTTCTGCTGTTACCAAGTAAGTTTTGCCCAGCAAAACATGGGCTGGCACTAAGTCGTGTAGAATGGATTGCTGCAGTCTAAAAAACATTTGAAAGTGTTTACCTTGAGCTGGCCCAGAGGTGTGGTGCCATACAAGAGACTAAGGTTCAGGATCAGACTAACGACTCTCACGTCCTGGGCCAGTGGAGGCTGGACACATAGCTGAGGTGACACACCAAGGAAGAGCCGGCCAGCCCAACCCCTCACACAGCATCCCTTTCTGGTTAATCCATGGAGTGACAATGACACTGATTTGCCTCATCCTGCCAGTTAATGGCAAGGCACTGCATTGATGGCTCCTAGAAATGGACAGGAGTGATTGGGAATAAAAGGGGGGGAAGAAAGGGGGCCATGATGAAGAAACGAGTAAAACCCAGAATCTCTCACCATCGCATTGTCATACCTTACACTGCAATATCATAACTACATGGGGAACGTGAGAACTAGAAACAGAAATAAAGTGGTTAATGAGAAGGACGTTTGTTGACCGTTTTAATTTATGCAGTTATCCAAATATTAATTTTCCCCTAAAAACAAAACAAAAAGCGTTTTGCACATGAACTACAGAAAGCAGGTGTTTTAGAATTTATTTAGTCCATAACCCTGTAGCAAGAGACAGAAGTTACCGTCAGTATTTGACATTCTGGCACCTCTATCAGGAATACATTCAAATTTTGTTTTATGTTTATAGCTTTTTATATTTAAATAAAATATTTATTACTCACCAAACAATGCCCTGTGCCCCTGATCCTATGGGCTTCAATTGCTGGTAACGTTTTAGTACAGTGAACGTTGAATCTGCAACTTGAACACTGTAAAACTGACTATCACATTTACTGTCACTCATGGTGTAGTGTCATGTAGTTTTCTCTCTCAAGGACCTGGTAAAGTTTTCAAGATCTTAAAGAAAAAGAAAGAAAACAAATGTTCACACTCTCACTAATTCCAGGCACACAAGTTGGAAAATATATTATACATATTTTAATACATATGAATTTTTCAACAGCATACCATTAAATAAGCATTCTTTCAACTTCACGTATTACCACTAATGAAAAATACTTGCAGACAGACAGCAAATAATCATAGCCTTCACAGCTTTAAGTAAATGCATGTTTCTATTCCAATCCCTAAAACAAAAAGCAGCTAAGTAAACAACAAGTAAAATAAACAACTAAGTAAAAACAAACAAAACCACCCAAATTCAACAACTCTCTACTCCTTGAAAGATACTCCCTAGCTCAGAATTACTACTATGTGCTAGGACTGTATTAATTTCTGTATTACAGAAAAAAATATCGTAAATAATGTCTTTCAAACACTGATAATGCAGATAAAAGCAACAGCAAAAACCCATGGAGTCCACAGACATAGAAAGAAACAGGGTTTTAATACAAGACTTGATTACAACTGCAAACCAGGTTTGAAACTAAACTGCCGCCCCCAAAATCCCCATGGCTGCTGCAGTTTCTCCAACAGTCCCTTTCAACCTAGTTCAGTAGGAAATTTCAAGCAGAGCTCTGCCTCCCCACCTCTGCCAGGCAACCCTTCCCGGATCCATACCTATCGCAACCCACTCTCCCTCCCATTTTAAACACACCATAACATCCTATGCTATCAGTTAGCGTACTTGTAGTCCTACAAGAATTAGAGTTTTGTGCTATAGCCTGAAAGAGACTTTCATGCCATAATAGAGAATAAGTTATATCCATCTGTCAAGAATGAATTAGAGGTAGGTAATTACATCAAAGAGCAAGGTAATGGACTAAACCTCTTTAGCTCTAAAGTGCTACAGCAACCAGAGAACAGACCTCCAGTTTTCCTGGGCCTCCATCCCTCTTCCAAACCTTACAAGAAAATTACTGAGGTAATTACTGAAGAGGTCTCTCACAAATTCTCCCATTTTTAATTTCACATTCACTATGACAGATAGTGTCATAGCCCAGAGTAAATTGCACGGTCAAGTGTTCCTTGAAACAGGAAATGAAAGCAGACCACCTTCCCCCGGAGCAGCTGTCCTAACCACCGGCCTGTACAATGTCTGTTTTAATAAAGAAAGAGCAGCTAGTCTCTCTCTCTCTTTGCTGGCCTACAGAATATTTGTGAGACAATGCAAAACAGAAAAGACTCAAGAGCAACCCAGATGGCCATCCTAGAAGGCCATACAGCCACACAAATAGCTTTTGGTTGCTTCAAGAGTAAGAATTTGGACGACTCTCTTCCTAGGTGCACATAGGAGGGAGCAGCATCTTTCCCATGGCTTAAGCCAGCAGATGATCTCCAAGAAATCTGCAAGTAAAACAGGCAGAAGACCTACAAATCCTAATAAAGACTGGGTTTAAACTGAACTAGTCATGGTTAGTCTTAAGGGATTGTCAAGAAATGTCTAGAGTCCCTTTTACCTTCTAGTTTCTCAAAATCTAAGCAGCATTTTAAGAAGTAGATATTCAACTTGGTCATCTCTGCCAGCAATTTAGACAGTAAGTTCCTCTTAGAAGCTTAAGAAAAAAAGCAGAGGAGAAAGGATCAGCAAAGGGAAAATGTGAGCTACCAACTTTCTGCCTCTGCCACAGCAGTAGTAGGGGGGAGGAAGCGAATTACATCTCCTATACAGTATTTTTAGGGGCAGTCAAACGCAGTTCCACAATCAGCTCACACTAACGTGAGACGAAAGCACTGCCTTAAGAGGTGCTCTCAACCTTTCCTACTACATCCCAGGAAAAAAAACCACTCTTCTTTCCAACCCTTTTTATTACTCCAAAGCTATGGACTCTGAGGTACCAAATTTTGTGATTAACAGTCCCTGAGCAGCCATGGTATTTTCAGTGAATCTTCATATGTTGGAAGAAAGGTACTGCTGGAAGGTCAAGATCCTATCTCTGAAAAGGACTTACAGAACAAAACCAAAAGTATAGATTTCCCATAAGCTGGCTATCAAGTTAAAGACCTGTTAGTTACACAAGAACTATGCTGTACCTCTTCATGGGTTAATGAAACACTTTTCTATAACAGAGATAAAGAAGTAGGGGAAAAGAAAGTTATCCTGAACCACAGAAACCCTCCTTTTAAGGAACTTTGTCTGCACAATGCCATCTTTTAAAAATCATTTAGAGATCAGGATAAGCTCTTTAGGCAAGACCCAAAGAGGGAATTAGGCATCAGAACACACAAGTTTCATGTATTCTGACATCCTTTGCAATTCACCGTGCTAAGTACCCAGCCTCTCCATAAAGCTGAGCCCTAATTTTTAATTAGGCTGCAAGCTGCTTGGACGCATCAGGACATACATTATTTCAGACATACACATTAACGTAAAATTAGGCGCCTAGGGATTGTAGCTGTTCACAAAACTTCAGACAGACAATCTATTTTGGGTGCAAGATCTCTCAAATAAAAACAGATTTCCTATTGCTCAAGGGAAGTGTATCTGGCAAATAAGTTTCTTAACCCTGAGCTGTTACTCTCCTACCTGAAATAATTTGATTCATCACTCCAGCTAACATTCTCCACACTTCTCCTATACAGGAACTTTTTGGAAGTAGGCATTATTTCCATTTCTGAAATACAAGTTTTCATTTATGGCTTTCTAGCTGCAGCTGCACCAAACAGAACCAGGAGCAAATGTAGAAGTCACAGGATAGTCAGCAAACATACTTCTACTTACTAGTAAAAGCATGTTACTGAATCACAATGTTTCAAGATGTTTTTCTATTTTAGAGCATGCACAAGATGCCTATAAATTAAGTGTTGGTTTGGATTTTTTTTTTTTAATATAACTTGCTTGTACAATTGGGGAAATTTAAGAATCACAAAGCTGACTGAGCACATCACATGCAGGAAACTTACAGGAGTGGTTTTCAACCTGTAGTTCATGAAAGATAACTAGAAAAATAACCAACACACCAAACCTACCATCAGTAGGCTTATGAGTTGTTATACGGAATTCAACTAAGAAATTTTTAGAAGTTGAAAGCAACTATACTATAGCATACATCCTGCATTAAACAGTCACTTCCCTAAAAGGCATTTATTAAAATGGCAACTTATTATTAACCAGATCTGTCCTCTGGATATCGTCAAGTCAAAAGCTTCTGAAACAAACAGGTTGTAGCAGTTGGGAACACATTCCCAGAGTTGTTCTGGTTACAGAAATGTTATTACTGACAATGAAGCATAAGAACATCAAGAAACTTAGCTTGATTTTTAAACCTCAAGCTAAAATTCTACTGCTGACAGAATGAATAGACAATGAACATAAACATATTTATGAAAAGATACGGAAATTCTGTGCAGAAAATCTCCCCCCATTCTCTTATTCACCCTTGTAAATGTACTTCAAATTCAGGTGTGCCCTTTTAAGGACTATTATCCAATAGTGTCGGAGGGTTTTTTTAAATCTTTACAGTAATATATATCAACAGGTATGAGTCCAACTACAAAATCTTAGTGAGTTACCTCCTATCCCTCTACTCACAACCCCTGAACAGTCTGTTACAAAAGGTTAAGTGTAGCAAAGCAGTAGCCGAGTAACATCAATCAGTTACAGCAGAGTTTAGAAGTACTCTCTATCTGTTTAACTCTTTGAAAAATCGACCTTTTTTCTTTAAGCAACCCAAACTATTACTGACCAAAGATTTTACCAGCTACCTGTTATAGTACCATTCGGCTGTTAAACATACACTACAGACAACCACTGGATGCATCTCAGCGCCCCTGCTAGGGCAAGTTGGTGGAAAAGAGAGAAAAAGTTTAAACGTGCATCTGCTGTAACCAATTACGCTGTTGTAAAATTATGTAACAGCCATATAACCGAGCAAGAGCACTTCTTACACCCCTCCTAAAACTCCTGCTGAGAAACTGCTTCGGCTCAAGAGAAAGCTCAGGTTCGCTCTCACTGCGTCGAGAGGGGCGCGCAGCACGGGCCCTTCCCTCGGCTCGGCTGCACTCCCTTCGACCCCCTCAGGACGAGGGGGCTTCCAGGGGACGCCGAGCGCCGGCCCGGCCGCACACCCCGGC